GAGAACCAAAATGAAAGAAGCTTTTGCCAGTTGCTATGATATATGGATTCAATGATAAGGAGAAAGATAACTGAGTAAATTTGAGGACTCTCTGTATTTAGTGTGAGATGATATTGAGTCAGGACATCATTTATCAACTGGCTGCCTTTTCCCTTATTCAACCAGGTTTCCAAGACAGCATTCAAGTTTTCCTGTTACTCAGTCACTTAGATACTGTATCCGACAGCCCTCAAAATGTCAAAAAGTAACCCTTTTCTAGGTAAATGGTAAATGCTCAGACATGCTTTTGGTGAAAGGATTCAGAGTTTATCTAATGCAGTAATACTGGTATTTTTATCTCCTTTCTCAAGGGGACACAGATTTCCTTTAAATGAATGGATATCAAATCTGTGCTGTGAATTGTAGCTAGAACCTGGGTAAAAAACTGATTTTCCATCTCTGTGTCTGACATCAGTCTTTCACTTGCCAGAACACTTTCTTTTTTCCCCTTATTATGGAGGTTGCATAACGCCCTATCAGCTGAGCTTGGAACATCATGCTCTTTCAATCATCCTCACAGATCCTTGAGGGTCAGGACACCCTGATTGCTACTCTACTCTTGCTGGCCATTATAGTAATTACAATTACCTTGCCACTGATGGTTAAGTGCTGCCACCTGGCCTCTGACATGCCAATTCTATAGAAGGATGCCTAGCTCTATCTGCACACACCAGCCTGCATTGGAATCCTCCACTCAGCTTCACGGATCCCTGTGCACCCCCTCCCACCTCCCCAATGCCATCCCTCCCCCAACAATATATTCCTTACTGACTTAAAACAGAGCGTTCTGTGGATTTTCCTAAAGCTGTGGGAGATGGGCACTAAGGTAAGGTCATGAGTTCTCTGTTTTTACATAATAAATCCATCTTAACATTTTTTTCCCCTTTCTGAAACTTTTGACTTCTTTCTTATTATCCTACCAAGGCAGTTCTCAAACCTTTGCCTCATTTACTGTTGGCTATTATTTTGTACAGACTTCAAAGGGATTATCCCAGCATGGTATTATGATTTGTACCAGGTGTCCCTTTCAGGTCACTGAACCTTAAATCAAGGGTGAGTGTTCTCAGGTTATTAAATTCTTCCTTTTTAGTCTTATATTCTTTATTCTAAAATATATTTCCTCTAGCTTTTGCCAGCATACATGAGATTTATCCTACAGCTTCTTTAGGGTGTTTGCTATTTCCATCTGGACAGGGACCCACATCTTTCTGCTCAGGTTCTGCTGATGTTGATATATTTCATGGTATATGAGCAATAAATCCTGTGGACAGGAAGGTACTGATGAAGACACTGTATGGTGTATCTGCTTGCCTACAGTGGCTTTAAATAGGGGAAACTATTCTGCCCTGATGGGGTAGAGATCTGCATTCACAGTACAAAGAGTGATGGCTTCAGAGAAATGTGCAGTTGTGAGCTTAAGTACCTGTCTCACATATAAAGGTTTTAATCTTTTCCTTTAAGGCATTGACTTTAAAATTGGAAACCTGCCAGGTGCCCTAGTGCATGCTTATAATCTCAGCAGCTGGGGAAGCTGAGGCAGGAGAATCTCAAGTTCAAAGCTAGGAGGATCAAAGTTCAGCAACTTAGCAAGACCCTGTTCCAAAATAAAAATTAAAAAAAAAAAAGACTGGGATTCATTTCTCTCCTTGTTTATTTTCCCATTCCCCTCACAACCTCTTATATGTAATTTTGTATAGCAATGAGGGTACAGTAGATGGGGTAGAGAGAGAAGATGTGAGGGAAGGGGAGGGGGGATAGTAGGGGATAGGAAAGGTAGCAGAATACAACAATTACTAATAGGGCATTATGTAAAATTGTGGATGTGTAACCGGCGTGATTCTGCAATCTGCATTTGGGGTAAAATTGGGAGTTCATAACCCACTTCAATCTAATGTATGAAATATGATATGTCAAGAGCTTTGTAATGTTGTGAACAACCAATAAAAAAAAATTAAAAAAAATTAAAAAAGGACTGGGAATGTGGCTAAGCACTTCTGGGTTCAATCCCTACTACCAAAGGGAAGGAAAATTGGAAACCTGTTGAAGAAATGTAATGTCCCTTGCCTTGCCCTCTCTTATTCTTAGATCCTCTTCCTAATTTTTCTAATTTTTTAAGGGTCTCCTTAAACACCTTCATTACTGTATAAACTTTAACTTTTATTGTTTTCCTCAAGTTGATAGTGGTTCATCTGTACCTGTCATTTAATTTTTTCAAAATTTTAATGCAGTTAAAAATTTTAAATATTTTATGGTACCCGCCCTGTTTATACGTGAAAGGTGACTAACTACATACTTCATATTCTATGGCACTTCACCCCACCATAAATTATAGCACCAGTAATTTTAATGCAACTGCGTGACAGGGTTACTATCATTCTACTTCATACCCAAAAAGTGACCTTCACTTCCTACTGACCTGAGAATGATCTAACACCCAAATCCCATCCTGGGATCCAATTTTTAGTGCTGCTCCAACAAGTGTAACCTATTAATTTAGAATAAATCTCTCTGAAAATACTGCCTGAAACAAAATGAGGATAAAAGATGCAGAGAGGAGAACAACAGAAAAAGAAACGACTTGTTCTTTTTCAAATTTCACCATGGATGTGAGTCTCCTTTTCAGTAGACTCGAGAGGTTGGTTTATTAATTTATCTTCTTTTTAAAATAGGTGTATGCATTTTAGTCAATATAACTCTCAGTCCAGTTACTTGGAATTTTTATGTAAATCCTAGAATTAGGTAGACTATTTGCAGATTCATTCGTATTCCTTTGGCAAGTGATTTTATAAATTAGGCAAGGAATGCCTGCCTGGCAAGCTTCCATTTCATCTTCTTTTCAAAGCAGACATTGATAAAAGATCATGGTGTCTAACTATGTGCTCACATTATTTCTCACCATCCTGCTTTGGAAAGTCTTAGTTAGAACATGAGATGAAATATGATTGCTAGGTATAGAAACATTTTTTAAAAAACTCCCATCTTCTCTTTTCAATGATTTCTAAGTCTATATCCTACATTTTATTAGCCAAAATTTATGTACTACATACCTCCCTATTCAAAATTTCTAAAACATAGAATGATTAAGTCATTCATCAATTGAATAAGTAACGACTATTCAGAAAAATATTGTTTGTGAAGTATTACAAAAGCATGGACTAAAGATAAATAAACAGTTATTCACATTTGGTTACGATTTCAATAAATTATGAGAATACTTTTGACAAATCTCACTGAAGCACTAAATGACAGTTCAGTTATTATTTAAGAGGAAATAAATGTTATCAGGAGTGGAGTTTTGTTTAAGTTGGAAATAAGTTTTGATGTAAATTATATATTAGTTTTACAGCAGAGGTTACGGGAGATTTTTGAAGTCTGTAATGTATTCAGCAAACTTTTCCATATAGATAGACATACCGGTTTGTGAAGTAGGAGGTTGTATTAGAAGAAATTGTGAAACCCTATGGAATCGAGACCAGCAATAATGGGGCCATACAAGTCCCAAATTCAAAATTCATAAATCATTGTATTGAAGTATGGACCCTCTCGTGAACTTTGTTACATCTTCTTAAATTTTAGAAACTTTAATAATGTTTGGAATGTTTTTAGATTTTTCTCAATCACAATTCAAGATGAGTAAGAAACAGGTAAAATTATTAAAAAAATGTTTTTACTTATAGTTACAACAACGATTTTTCTTTTCTCTTTTTTCCTTAATAGATGTCATGGTTAGAATATAAGATGTCCTCCCAAAGCTCCTGTTAATGTAGGAAAACTCAGAGGTAAAAATCACCAGATTTCAGGAGCTGTAACCTAATGAGTCCCTCCTAGTTTAATGGACAGAATGGCTGATAACTATAGGAAGGTGAGGTGTGACTGGAGGAGGTGGGTCACTGGGGCCATGCCCTTGCAGGGTGCATCTGCCCTGAGGCCCTTTCCCCATACCTTCGGCTTCCTGACCCCATTATGAGTTGAGCAGCTTTCCTCCACTGGACCTCCGCCATGATGTGCTGTATCATCTTGGAATGAAAGAAATGGAGTTCAACATCTCTGGACTGAGGCCTATGAAACCAAGAGCCTCAAAACTTTTCCTCCTTATTTTGCCTGTCCGGTATTTTGGTTATATCAACACAAAACAATAGATGTTTTAGTCTGTTTTGTGCTGCTAGCACAAAATACTTGAGCATGAGTAATTTGTAATGAACAGCTTCCAGTTTGGGAGTCTGGGGAATCCACAAAGTGCCAGCAGATGGTTCAAGGGAAAGTGCCCTCTTGCTGTGTCCTCACACGACAGAAGTGGGATAGCAAGACAGTGACAGAGGGGTGAATTCATCCTTTTACAATGGTATTATATCCACCCATAATAGTGGAGTACTCATAGACTTTTAAAGGTCTCACCTCTTAATATTGTTAAATTTTAACCTGTGTTTTAAAGGGGACAAACATTAAAGCCATAGCCTTGGTTATTGGTAAAATTTTGAAACAATGTGGATTAGAATTACTCTGGAAAATTTATAAGTTATATAACTTTATATCTATTGTCTGCCCACAGTATTCTAGGTGCAATTTCTAAGGTTTTTCAGGTTCAAGAGAGATCCACAATTTCATCTTTAAATATCTTTTTAAAAAATAAAGCAGTATATTTCACAAGACTGCAATAGACACCGATTTGGCTCCTTTTTAAAAATGAGAAAAGTAACAAATTAAAATCTACATTTTAAAGCAAAGTTGGTGATTTAACCTGTTATTCTAATCATTCAAATTTAGAATAATCTTTAGATATGAATATGAATATATATTGAATTTAAATTGACTTATTTCTATTCAATATGTTGTTATCCACATGTACTTCTAATGCTTTTCTGTTAGAATGTGGAATGTATACACAATGGAGTTTTGTTCTGTCATAAATAAGAACAAAATTATGTCATTTTCAGGAAAATAGATGAAACTAGAGAGATTCATGTTAAGCAGAATAAGCCAGACTTATAAAGGCCCAACTGTTTCTTATCAGGTGTGGAAGTTAAAAAGAAAAGAGGAAGAAGAAAAGATCTTTTGAAAATGGAGGGAAGACCAGTAGGGTGGAAGAAAGAACAGTAAGAGGGAGGAGGGGAAGGGAAAGGGAGAAACTGGGGAATACAGTTGATAAAAGTATCTTATGTGCATTTACAAATATGCCACAGTAAAACCTCCCATTATGTATAATTATTATGCACCAAAACCCAGTAATATAATAAATTATTTAAAGCTAAATAACAAATAATTTGATTTGTATTTGCCCAATCTATATTTTTATGTAAAATATAAAATAAAAATCAATAGACAAGTGAAGGATTATAATGAATTGTATTTTAATTTTTTTAAAAGAGAGAGTGAGAGAGAGAGGGAGAGAGAGAGAGAGAATTTTAATATTTATTTTTTAGTTTTTGGCGGACATGACATCTTTGTATGTGATGCTGAGGATTGAATCTGGGCCGCACGCATGCCAGGCAAGCGCGCTACTGCTTGAGCCACATCCCCAGCCCTGAATTGTATTTTAAATGCACTATTATTATTATTTTTTTTGGTTCAGAGACATAGTTCATAACCTACGAGGAATAATCTTGTGTAAATTAAAAAAAAATTCAATATGACACAATGGCTAGGTTTTGAAATTTCTTAGCTAGTTTCCTTTCTCTTTTATCATAAATTTATTTTTTTTCACCTTGTTCACAAATTATTCAAGTTGATTTTGAAAATTTATTATTGGGTCAATGAATGAATTCAGAGAAAGGAACTTTTTAAATGTCCACACTGGAATTCCTTACATCAGTGAGATTCGGGGCTCATTTTCTTGGAGTTAACCCTCCTGTTGTTAAGTATGAGTGCAGTGACCCCTTCTCCAGCCACCACTGTGAGAACTAATTGGTTTGTGTGCTCCCACTGCCTATGAGAAGTAACTCAGGAACAAATTGAGGAGGAGCAGCCCCTGAACAATCTGAAGGTAAGCTCAATTCCTGGGACATGGAAAGGGTACTGCTACCCAAAGGTTTTTTCTTTAAAAGTAAAACAAAAGGTTTGTTCAAATGCAAGACAACTTAGTACCATATTTTAGACACTCAAAAATCCAGTAAATTACTTAGTAGAGAACAGTCTAAATAACTTTGTAAGAACAAAATTGCTAAATTAGAAATAATTAATGCCCTGATTATAAGGCTAGCCAATTACAAAATTTGGTGGCCTATTTACTCACATAAACACTATTCTTAGTTTGTTTTCTTGTTTTCTTTCTAGGATGCCCAGTAAGAACAAGCCTTAGCAAAACCTAATGCTTTTCCTAGTGCCTCCAAGTTTGCCTGCTCTGTATTTTAACATGTTGGCAGTATATTCTGTTACACTGTCTGTTACCAAGACAGTACATACTAGTGCAACAACTGTGGCCCAATTTCCTTTTTTAGATAAAGTGTTTTAGCTGAAAGAAATTAGCTTTAAAATATCAAAAGAATTTAGACATACTTTTTATTGGTAAATGTTTTTCAACCATAAAATACCATTTCTTAAATCCATATATTGCTTGAAATTTGTTATCAAAGACTTCCTCATTTGTAATTTGTCCTGAGCAAAAAATATTCAGTGATGACCAAGACTGAAAACTGAGTTTGGATGACCTACACAATTGACCTAAATTGTGGCCCATATACCAGATCTGGGAATAGAAGCTACCTATATTGGATTTTGATGATCTGATGGAAGTACATCATTTAATTCCATTCTGAGTCTCTGTATCTTCCTTCTAGGAATCACGTCTCTTCTCTCAAAGCCAAAAGCCCCCAGTTTTCCCAACCAGCTGCTGTTTCAGTCAGTGCTGATTCACACCATCACTGTGGTAGTTAAGGCAAAGCATCCAGACTGCCTCTCAGCTGTGACTGTTACTAAATTTCCTGCTGCCATAACCTTCTGGAGGTTCCCACAGATTCCTCCCATTCTCCTCACCAGTTCTTCATACTTACTGTGAGATCTGTCCCCACAGACTTTCTATCCCTTTCAGTGAAATTTCCACTTGAAGATAACAGAATTTATTTCTACCTTCTGTGTTGAAGAACTGAGCTCCTAATGAGAGAAGTTATAGGAAGAATGGTAATGAAGTAGATTGATAGGGAAAGTGGATGATATAATTCCCAAGAGTGTACTGTGGGTCCAAGGTCAATGACTAAACATGCCTAGAGAATTGGCCGTGGAACTTTATATGCAAATCAAAGAGTAGGTGAGCAAACTCAGTAGCTCTGTTCTTCAGGGATTACCTCCTAACTGCATAAAATCTATTCCTATAATTAAAAAAAAAATTTGTTACCTTTTGGCTAGTGATTATGAAAGTGTTGGGGAAAGGGTCAAGAAAAAGGAGCATAACATTTTTAGATAGAATTTTATTCTCACTATAAAAAGTTACTTAAGCTTTCTTAAGATTGATATCTATGAGAAATGTTATGACTGAGAAACCTATGCTTTGAGTTGAGAATCTGAACAATAGTCTATATTAATTTTAAGTATAAAATTATCACATAATCCATATCGATATTACCCCAAAAGTAGAGGCAAGAAAACTATTTTTCTGTGATTTTTTAAAAAATTTAACCCTTAAAAAGCATACAATGTGGAGCAAAAGTAATTAATCACTCATGTGGTATAACCCCTCATTTTATTGATGAGGAAATTGGGGCACATCTCTGTGTTTTAGACTGCATATTAAGGACATTTTAAGGATCTCACCTTTCTATGCAATTGCTGAATTATGTCTATGAGAAGAGGATTGCTCTTTTTGCATGTTGTTGATGGTGTTTCTTTTTTTGGTCAAAATTATTTCTATGTGCTAAGAAGTATAGTGTATTTATATAAAATAATTTGTTTATAATATCCTAAAGGCTCTTAAAGTTTAGGCCCTTGAGTTTGGTTCACTTACTAATATCCATAATTGATTGTCATAATGCAGATAGACAACTTAATAGAAATTTTAATAGAAGGAATCACAGCAGTTTTCAGCAAAATATCGCTTCCTGATAGAAATTACTACTTTTAATATTCTCCTTTATTTTTGGCAAAGTCAATTTAAATGTCATGTTGGCTTAAAAATAGTATAATTTCAGCATCACAGATTTACATCAAAATAAAAAGTCATTTCACTTCTTTCTCACTGGCCAGGGTAGGCTCAATATTATTCTTCATTGATTGAGAATTTATATAATTTATTTTTAATGCAAAGAGATTTTACTGTGTAGCAAAGTGATATTTACTCCTGACATAATGCTAATTTCCTAAATAACTAAGAGCAATATAATACCATCTTGCCTTTCCTGATATATAGAAATCACAGTTTTTTAAAAAATCTGATTATAATCAGTTTTTGTTGATTTGGAAATAATGAGTATTCAGTTTTAATCTCATTGCAGGTTTAAAAATTGGATGCCAGATGCCAGTGATTTATTGACAAGATTGGTGCATCAGGGTGGATGGGCTCACTAGTCTTTCCATTACATCACTTCTCTGGGTTGTGTCTCACAGTTGGAGGTCTCCATAGAAGGCAGGTTGCCTGGAAAAATATTATGAGAACATTTTATGGCACAGTTGAAATTCAGTCAAATTCTCTGCCACTTTGTAAAGAAGTTGTCAACACACAAAAATTACCCTCTTTAGTGTGAAAAAAATTGGCTGGCAGTGATTTAAACATGTGTTCTTTAAATTAAATCACTCTTCAATGTATATTTTAAAATAAAGAGAATCCAAAAGATATAATTACATGATTTAATTGACTGTTTTAAGATTATCCCATTATCAAAATATTCCAAGATTATTGGGTTCCTAATGGTGATCCCTTAAGTTTTAAAGTATGAGAATATTCCCAGATTACACTATAAGATTATACTATGAGAATATTCCCAGAGTATACTATTACTAATGGTTTACTAATAGTAATAGAATGCTTTGGGGATGAATGTATTTGAATCAATCAAAATAAAATAAATTGAATTTAATATAGGAGTCTCACATTTTATGGTTTACCATAGTTTGGTGGAAAGTTGCAGCAAAGTGAAACTTTCTTAGTGGATTAAAAACAAACAAAAATATTGACTATTCAGACAGCTTTTCAATCTTTCAAATGTATAGATGAGAATGAATATATGAAGTGGGAGTCCAGGTAAAGTTTAAAATTTGTTCCCCAGTCAAGTTCAGATCTATCCAGCATTATATGGACTGACTCAGTGTACCTCAGACAGATCAGAAGAAAGCAGTGGTCTTGCACAACACATGGTTACTGGGATTGGCTCCTTTACCCACCTTCCATGGGCTCTCATTTCAGGCCTTAAAAGGGATAAGGGTTCATGTAAAAATTGGAAATATTTGACATGTTACTGTAGCAGATACTTGGTACATAATACTAACTGATCCTTATGATGCTGGCTTTCACATTTAACTTATTAAAGCTAAGCTGATAAGCAAGCTACGAGCATTATGTACCATCAATGAATTACAGACAATTAGCACGAGAGAAATTTAATTTTTCTTAAAAGATTAAATATTGGTTACACAGTTAATAAAATCCATCTCAACTTAGATAACAACATATTTATGTGACTATCAAATAAATATTCACTTAAACATATCATAAATATAAAATAACAAAACAAAGACATTATAGCAAACAGATATTAACTTAATTGTACTAGACTCTTAATTGTATTAGTAAAATTGGCTCATTTTCTTTTTTGCTCTGCACTTGTTTTATATATACTTTTAAAGCTACAAAATTCTTATTTTGACTGGTCAATACTCTTACAAGATGGAAAATAAACTAGAACATAATCATGATCAACATACGCTAAGTAAGATTTGGATATTTGCCCAATCATTTTGTGTTCATATCATTTTAATTTGTTGCATTTCTTGAAACGATTCAAACTTGAGCTATTGATCAGTAGGCTAGTCTCATTTTTTCTTGATAAGGATTGTTGTTAATTTATGGATTTTTAAATGCACATTTCTTCTGTAGAGTTAGTTCTTTCTTCTGTGGAGTGAGAAGAAGAATGTCAGAGAGCTAAAACTCTATGGAGGGTTTCTAACAAAGGAGAGATGTGATCCAATTTCTTTCCTAGCTGCTCTGTGGAGAAGCAAGAGAGCTAAAAACTACTTGTCTTAGAAAAAAACTGAGAATGAGCTGGGGAACACTAAGCTGAAACCACAAGTCCCACACAGACCGGATTGCAAGAGGAATTTGCAAGTTTTTTAGAAAAAGAGAAAAGAAGAACATAAGGGTAAAAAGGATTAAAGGTAATGAACTAGAACAAAAGTTTGATATAATTATGATTGGAATCCTGTTTTGGCATTCCTTGAGAATATTTTATGAAGACTTAATCTGCTTTTCAAATATTTTTGCTTTGTGACTGGTATTTCTTAATGTGATACCTTGCCAATTAAAGTCACATGTATTTTTAAACCTTTGGCGTTTGGAGGAAATTGGCATGAATTGAAGAATTTCATTCCTAAGTAAATATTTTGGAGGATAATTTTAAGTTGTTAGTAAAAATAAGTTCTGTTTTTGCTTTCATGATATAAATAAAATTCCTAACATTTAGCTACTATGACATTTTCTATGACTCCATTGTTTTTATAGATTATGTAGTGTAATGCATATTTGGAAATTTTTGTTATTAAAATAAATATGTGGTAATAAAATATTTCAATAATGAATGTATTTCAAGTTTTCTTCTATATTTTACTGTGACTGTCAACCAGAAAAAAAAAAAAGAATATAAACCCCAATCAGCATTAAGCCAGTTGAGCAAAGAGTGTTTGCAAAAGGTATGTCACTATAAAATCTGGGAAGAAAAATAATAGAATAATTTAAGTCCATAGCATGCAAACTGTCAAATTATTTTAGGAATATATTGCATTAAAAAATAAACTTCTTATAGATGAGAGCATGAAAAGACATTTCTAATTTCTGTTGCTCCCTTTTCATTTTGCAAAGTCAAATTCTATTTCCCAGAATGAAGTTTTCTCAGCAATTTACCACAACTCTTCTAAGTGCTCTTTTATACATTTGCACAGACGTATATGCTCATAGAACAAAATTTACACAACCTGGGCAAAACTGCAGTGGTTTGTGACAGGCTTTCTTATGTTAATAGTTCTTTCAGGTTCTCCACATTAGCTTGTGAGAACAGATGTGGCTACACAGAGGAGCATGTGGGTGCTCCATTCCCTCTCATTCTTCTCTTTGGGTTGTGCTTTTTCTATGCCAATTTCTAAAAATATAGAATAAAATTAAATTACTTTGACTCTTGAAATGTAAAACTAGATTACTACTCCTATTTATAGTTTGTCTTTCTGGTTAATCATTAGACAGTTGGAATTTTTAAATTATGAGACGAAATAAGAACATTACCTTATTTTATTAAAAGGTAGCCAATTAGAACATCATTTTAAGTGAAATAAACCAGGCTAAGAAACTCAAAGGCCATATGTTTTCTCTCATATTGTGGAAGCCAGAGAGAAAACGGGGGTTGGGGGGAGATCTCATGAATATAGAAGGGAGGCAAGTAGAGTATAGTAAAGAGACAGGGGGAGTGAAAGGGAAGGAAAAGGGGAGGTCCTGGGGAATAATATTGTCCAAATTATGCTATTCCCATGTACAGAGGTATCACAATGAATGCCACTATTATGCATAATTATTTTGCACTAATTAAAAAAAAAGAAAAAAGAAAAAGAGGTAGCCAACTTGACCATTTGTATTGTTTAATAGTTGTGATTTGAACATATTCCCCTATAAACACGGGTTCTATTTCTATATAAACCACTTGATCAATTCATTCATTCCTACACAAAAAAGCAAACACTACCTTATAAGATTGATTGCTATAACTGTTATTAGAAAGAAAATGCCTGTGCATTGTTCTGCTTCAAGATATTTTCTTATGTCTTCTCATTAATTCTTCACATTTGTCCATTAAAATAAAATTCAATTAATAATTGTATTTAAATTGTAATTTGTTACTTATATTAAACTAAGAAGAATTAAGTTCTATACAATATTGTATCACTTTACTCAGGAATATGAAGCCTCACACTTAATTAGTCTCTCTTTTTTTCTTTAAATGACTCAAGCTATTGAGGAAATTATATATTATTATAACAATATTATATATTTAATATAATATGTAGTAGGAATGATATAATAAATAATGTATAGAGGTGGAATGCTAGAAAGAGAATATATTAAGAATGGATCCCTATTTTATGAATTCTAGAAAGAGAATATTTAAGAGTGGGTCCCTATTTTATGAATTCTTGTCATTTTTGATAATTTTCTTTTTATTTTGTGTTTGATTGGTTTTCCATGATTACTATATAGGCAATAATAATTTGGAAAAACTAGTTATTTTTTTCTTCACCATTACTTATTCTCATATTCATTTTAAATGCTATCATTTTATTGCCTTAAATTTGCATTATAACTTTTTGTAAGGCCTGTTGTAACATGCATCCTCATTTTTTTTGCAAATATTATATTGGTTCACTTTTTATTTTGTATTACCAACAGTGATGCTTATCTTAAGTTTCTGTAGATATTGTTTCTCAAATTAACAAAATTAATGTCTTACCACAGCTTATATGTATATTGACATAAATACGCATGTAGAGCATGTAGAGTATGTCCTTGGCTCTTTCTAGCTCTCTGGTGGAGGCCCACAATCTTTGGTTGTTCCTTGGCTTGCAGCTGCAATGTTTCCATCTCAGCCTCCATTGTCACATGCTGATTCCTCATGCTGTGTTTGTGCCTTCACAAAGCCATATCTTTTCTGAGTACCTCTCCTTTTCTCATAAGGATCCCAGACATACTGGATCAGGAGCCTCTTCTACTTCAGTGTGAATTTACCTGAACCAGTTATATTTGCAGACTGTTTCCAAATAAGGACACATTAATGTTCAGGGGCTTAGGAATTTCACATATCTTTTTGGAGGGACACTGTTCAGTACATAACATCTGCTATTAATTTTCCCATTCTGTTTCATTTTTACATGATTTACAATCGAATTACATTGTCTGCCAAAAACCTTTTACCTTCTCCTTTCATTTTTTCTTAATTCATCACATTGGCTAGCTCTGTAAAAACTGTATTTTAATGGTGACAGTGTATGACTGTTTCTATTTTTTAATCTTTTAAATTGTTTCTTTATTGTCAAAGTACTATTGGATATGTGCGAAATCATAGAAAACAGCAATATTTGTTAAACACCCGTAACATGCAATACTATTCTCTCTGTTCAGATCCAAATGTTCCCACCTATTAATGGCATACCTTGGTCATGCACCTTTATCATCATAACAGTGGGGAGCGGGTAGGTACTGCTGCTAAGGAAGAGTTTACCCAGAGGAGAATCAGTGATCAAATGCAGAAATTCAGACTTAAATTTAGGTTCTAACAATTATGCTATTATTGACGAGCACTTAAGCTCTTTCAGTATTTTTTTTTTTTACCATTGCATGCATCTACATTTAGTTTTTAATTTCAAAATAGAGTTTGTAAGAGGAGTTTTTCTCCAAGGAAAAATTAGAACTTGAGTTTCCACCTAACTCTTTTCAAATATATATTATTATTAAAGAAAAGAAAAAAGAAAAACTTAAGGACTAATTTTTTCTTCTTTGCATTTTTTTAAAAATACTTTTACATTTCATGTTTAAAGCTTAATTTTTCATTTGGGTGGTGACAGCAGGAAAGGTAGGGATTCTTACT